ATATTCGTAGAACCCATAAAACCTAAATTCAATGGTGTAGGATAGTTGCAATAGACTTGATCAGCTCCAACAGATGATAAACTCATTAGCAGCTGCGACGGTATAGATGTGGCGGTAGATGCACTGGTCAAGAATCCCGAGCACGGCGTCAGTGCAGCACAGTGTTTGCTCGAGACATCAGCGGACTTGGATGAGTGTGTTGGCCTTCATATGTAGTCATAACTATGGTTGGATCACTCAAAGATTGCTCTATTCTTTTCTTCACACTACTTGAAGCATTAGTGCACCTATAATAGCTCCTGAAATAATTCAAACCATAAAAAAAGGAGAGAAATTGAACGTAAGTACTTGATCGTAATAAACAGTAAAACGAAGTTCCATATTGTGTGACATATTGGCTCAACATCCTCTGGGTCTATAAATTGGTTGTTCCATTTAAATTATATATGAATATCAATCTTTTCTACATCAGCTCAACTGCTCAAACCGAGGCTTGAGAATTACATGATGATTCCCTCATTTTCAAATCCTTTGGAATTTATGTTAGCAAAATTTGTCTAACGCTTTATAAATAACAATGGAAATTTTATTCATCTTTATTTACAAACCTGCAGTGGACAGATGACCTCTATTATCATCACTAGGCATCAGAATCCGCCATTGGCATACCAGTAAAACTTTTGAAGTTCTTGATTTATAATACAAGACATGTTTATCCTTCTCTACTGAAACACACATCATAAAAGTTCACGAAAATTATGCCATTGGATAAAGCACGCAGAGAATAAAAGCCTCATCTATCTGCCTTAAATTAGTATTTCACAGAACATATTTATTCCTTTTTCCTGAATCTGCCTTAAATTATTTCAATTTTATTATGCATTTCTAATTACTAAGCTGCAAATTCCTATTCTCTCAACTCCAATTTTTTAACCATAAGTGGAATCCGTTTCTTCGTGGTCATAGTGAAACCGAATTAGCCCCTACCATCTTTGCCATCTCCCTGTTTTAAAGTCACCAAAATCACCAGGAACATGTTTTGAAAGGCCTTCAGTTTTTTATTGCAACTTCGCTACAAATCATTAGTGATAATCATTTAAAGTTTTACGCATGCTTTAATTTCCTAGAGCTGATGAAAGCTTTATTCAATAATAGATGGCTTGAATATTCTGCAGTATGTCATTTAGCAAAGAAATATAAATGGACAAAACTGGGTAAAATCCAACCAATGTAATATCTAACGTTGGACTCAGGCAAGCACTCATTTGGTCGTGAACGAACAGAGACCAAGCCAATACTATACAAATGCTAAGAATGTGATTTAGAGTGGGAATAGAGTTCAAAACTAGGTGGTCCACCTATGAAGAGTATGGCAGGAAGCGGTGGTATGAGTTCAAATAAGGACCTTTTGAAATCGGAGCGTCATACTTCTCTATTCGACAACATAAGCAATCTACTCCACAATATTGATTAAATATTGAAGACAACTCACAGAAAAATAGGTTGGGCTTACCTGATTTTGAGGCTACGGGTAGGGGGCAGGATCAATAGGTCAAGCCACAGTTTTGACAGGCGACGGATGAGTGGCACCAATCTACGGGATAGGCACTAGAGGTGGAAAGGCATTGGGAAATCAGAGGTAGACCGGCGTCGAAAAACTCCTTGTGGAGGCCGTGGGAGATGTGGATTTAGGGTAGAAGAAATTGAAAACCAGAGAAAATAGGGAGAAAACAGTGTTTCCCATGTTAGCCTTGTTGAGGAGGATCGGGACCCGGCTGGATTCTTGGGCTCTGACATTACGATTGATGCTGCACGTGAAGCTATGCGAAGCATTTGGCAGAATGACGAAGAAAATGGGAACGATACTGGGAGTCTTGCTCAATCGGAGACGTCGGTGACTGATGTGATGTTTTCTGACAGCATAAAGTGCATTTTGGGGTTACAGTTGAGTAGTCGAATTATACCGCATGGTCTTCGAAGACCATGAGGTATAATTTTCATTTGAGCTATTGTTTGAGCCACATTATATTTTTCATTCTCATTCTTCTTTAATGAAATAATATTTTTATCATATCAATGACTTTTCCTTCATTTTCAACCACATATTCTCCATTACATAAACAAAAAAAATGCATTCTCTCCGCAAAAATGCCTACCAAACATAGGCTGATTGTTTGTTGGAAAATTGGTTTAATTAATTGGTTTGACCAACATTTGACCAATTATTTAAGTGGATATTGTTAGTTGGATAAAAGATTTCTTTGGTTAAGTGTATTCTACTCTACAAGTAGACTAATGTAACATTTATTATTTCAAAACCAAGTTAGAGTGAACGATCAATTTAGAGTGAATGAAAATTAAGGCAAAAAAATGACCACTTGAAATTAAAATAAATTGGGAATAAAAATTGGTGAAAAATTGAAAAATGTCATTCCCACTTAAGAAAAGTAGAAAAATAGAAACCACTTTATATTACTCAAGTTTGAGACTTGAATTTGGATCACAAGGGGTACCTATAGTCTTTAAAGGGGAGATGACCTACATGCTGGTAGGTTGAGGCAAATTCCACACGCATGTCGTCTTTATTCTGCCTCTCGGTTCAGGTTTGGACTTGGGCCAATTCGGTAAATATTTTTTGGTAAAATAATATTTGAATTATATTATATTATTATTAATTTAAATAATATATTTATTTATATTATCTATTTATTCCCCGAATTTTTCTGTGCGCAATATGTGGCATTTTCTAGAATCTGACGGTTGACTGTTTAACTGCTTGTCTAAATATGTTGTGTCTATTCAAAACATAATTTTTTGGCTGTTGTGTCTTTTGGACACACAACTTTTCAACTTCTATAAATAGATCTCCATATGTCGAATTTTATTCATTCCAAAATCATTCTTAATTTCTCTCTTGCAAAATATAATCATCCATCCTGCATTGTTTTTCATATTGTACATTTTAGTCCCGAATATTATTTTTATGCATTTTAAGTCTTCCAATTTTAGAGAGATTAAAATATTAGTAGGTTCGTTGATTTTGTAATTTGGAGTGATACTATTACAAGTCCAGTTCGTTGTATCTTGTGAGATGGGTGATGAAAAATCGTCAGCACCAGTGCGGTACATTATTGTCTTAAAGAGAAAGAGTCGAACTCTTATTTCGGCCATTATCATCCTATTTTATTCCATCCATTCTGTAAGTCGAATCCTGCCAATTTTTTATTCACCGTAAAAAGATTATTTCGAATATAAATTATTGCATGGTAATATCAATATTTCTCCGACAATCTTAGGACGATAATTTCTTGTTCAAGTTTGAAACTTGGGTTTGGGACCCAAGCCCCAAGGAGTACCCGTAGTCTTTGAAGGGGAGATGACTTACATGCTAGTAGGTTGAGCCAGATTTCAAATGCGTTGCGTCGCAATTCGACTGTTCAGTTCGGGCTTGGACTTGGGCCACGTTGATATATATAAGTAGGCTCTCATATGTCATATTCTATTCATTCCAAAATCATTCTTGATTTTCTCTCTTACAAAATATAATCATCCCATCCTATATAATTCCATATTGTGCATTTTAGGCATGAATATTATTTCATGTATTTTAAGTCCTTCAATTTTAGAGAGATCAAAACATTAGTGGGTTCGCCGGTCTTATAATTTGGAGTGCTACTATTACAAGTTGAGGTCGTTGTATCTTTAGAGATGAGTACCGAAAGACCGTTGCACCAGTGCGAGACATTATCGTCTTAAGGAAAAATAATTGAACTCTTGACTCAACCATTATCATCCTGTTTTATTCCGTCCATTCTATAAGTTGGAATTCTGCCTAGTTGTTTATTCTCCGTAAAAAGATTATTTAGAATACAAATTATTGCATGATAATATCAATATTTCTCCAACAATTTTAAGACGATAATTTCTTGCTCAAGTTTGGGACTTGATTTTGAACCCCAAAGGGTACGTATAGTCTTTGAAGGAGATATGACATACATGCTAGCAGGTTGAGCCAAATTCCATACGCGTGTCGTCGCCATTCGACTGCTTGGCTCAGGCCTGGATTTGGGCCAAGTTGATATATATTTTTTTTGGTAAAATAATATTTCAATTATATTTAAATATTATTAATTTAAATAATATATTTAGTTATATTATTTATTTATTCCCCAAATTTTCCTGTGAGCGATACGTGGCATCTTCTAGAACCGTCGGTTAATTATAGAACTGTCTGTCCAAATCGGTTGTGTCTATTCAAAACACAAATGTTTGGTTTGTTGTGTCTTTTGGACAAACTTTTCAACTTCTATAAATATGTCCATATATGTCGAATTTTATTCATTTCAAAATCAATCTTGATTTTCTCTCTTGCAAAATATAATCATATTGTCCTGCATTATTCCATATTGGGCATTTTAGTCCCTAATATTATTTTCGTACATTTTAAGTCCTTCAATTTTAGATAGATCAAAACATTAGTAGGTTCGCTAGTCTTGTAATTTGGAGTGCTACTATTACAAGTTGAGGTCGTACTCCCTAACAATGCTCATTGGGAGAAATCAGAAAAATTTATGGGAGTAGATTTTAAGAGACGTCAACAGAAAATTCTGTTTTATCTCATAACTCTGAATTTGACAATTTTTTAGTGAAGATGCTTCAACTGTTGAGGAAAGGGAAACAAATCCTAAAAAACGAGCAGCATTCGATGCATAAAGTCATAGTGACTGATTGAGAAGAAACTACATCCTCAATTGCCTTGACAACACACTATACAGCGTATATAGTTCGGTCAAGACATCTTAACTATTGTGGGAATCATTGAAAAAGAAGTACAAAATGAAAGATGCCGAATTGAAGAAATTTGTTGTAGGCATGTTCCTGGACTTCATAATGGTAGATTCTAAAACAGTGATGAATCAAGTCAAAGAGTTACAAATTATCGTACACGAGATACACACAGAAGGTATGAAACTTAGTGAATCGTTTCAAGTCGTTGCGATCATTGAGAAATTACCACTAATATGGAGATATTTCAAGAACTGTCTGAAACATAAATGCAAGGAAATGTGACTTGAAGGTTTGATTGTAAGATTAAGAATTGAGAAAGATAGTCGAAATTCTGAGACGAAATCTGAAAAGCTACAAATGAAGGTGAAAGTTAATTTGATGGAGCCAAATACTAGAAAGAAAATGAAGCACTCGGGTAATGTTAAGTAAAAGAGCAATGCAAAAAAATTCAAAGGAGATTGCTATAACTGCAGTAAGCTTGGTCACATCGCAAATGGTTGTCGGCAAAAAAAAGCAAAATAAAAAAGAGCAAGTACACTTGATCGAGAAAGGCGAATTGTTTGAACTAATGCTCTCAGCTGTTGTATTAAAAGCAAACATGGTGGACAATTTGAGAGAATGGTTCGTAGGCATTGGAACTATTAGTCATGTTTGTGCTGATAGAGAGATATTTTCATCTTACACTCCTATCAATGGACAACAACTATTTATGGACAATTTGACGATATCAAAAGTTGTTAGACTCGGTAAAGTAGTGCTAAAGATGAAATCGGGCTAAGAAGTAACCTCATTGATGTACTGCATGTTATTGATATTTACAAGAACTTGGTATCCGGAGCTTTATTAAGTAAAAATGGGTTTGGACTAATAATTGAGTCTGACAAGTTTGTACTCACCAAAAATGGTATGTTTGTAGGCAAGGGATACTTAGCGAATGTGCTATTCAAAATGAATGTAATGTCTGTATTTTGTAATTTTGACATTAAAAAAAAGTAATCTTCTACTTACTTGATTGATTCTTCTAATTATGGCATAATAGATTATGACATGTTAATATTAACACTTTACGTAAATTAGTAAGTTTAGATTTATTATATTCTATTTCATTTGATCAAATCATCGGTGAGAAAATTGTGTAGAAGCTAAATTAGCTAAAACACTGTTTCATTTAGTTGAAAGGAAGTCGAATTTTCTAAAACTAATTCACAGTGATATTTGTGATTTAAAATTTATACAAACTAGATTATATAAAAAGTATTTTATTACTTTTATAGATGATTGCACAAGGTACTGTTATGTCTATTTGCTAAGAAATTAAGACGAGGCCTTAGAAACATTTAAGCAGTACAAGAATGAAGTTTAGAATCAACTTAGCAAACGAATAAAATTTGTTCGTAGTTACAGAGGTGGAGAATATGGAACATTTGAAGAATTTTGTTCAGAATCTGAGATTATTCATCAAACTATAACTCCTTATTCACCTCAGTCAAACGGTATTGCTGAACGCAAAAATCATACTCTTAAAGAGATGATGAACACTATGTTGATTAGTTCTGATTTACTTTAAAATTTGTGGAGGGAAGTAATTTTCTTAACTAACCACATTCTAAATAAATTACCACACAAAAATATGAAAAAAACTCCTTATGAGTTATTAAAATGTCATAAACCTTCATACAAATACATAGAAGTGTGAGAGTGTTTGGCTATGGGTAGAAGTATCCAAGCCTAAACAAGTTAAAATAGGACATAAAACCATCAATCGCATATTCATTGGATATGGTAGTAACAGTAGTGCTTATCAGTTCCTTGCACATAAGTCTGACATTTCGAATTTACATGAAAATACTATCATTGAATTTAGGAATAATGTATTTTTTTAATGACATTTTTCCTTGTAATGATATAAAAAAGATAAGGTTGCAAAAACGAATTTATGATACTACAATTGATAATTATCAAAGTAATGAAGAACCAAGACATAGCAAAATGACCAAAATATCTCCATCTTTTTACAAATGCTACACCATATTTCAAAAGCAAAGAATATTTGCCATAACTTCCATTGAGAAGCAGAGAAGCACCAGCCATAGATTTTTTAATTTATTTGTTAGAAAACTGAAAAAATTGAAAACTTTACAAATGCTACACCATATTTCAAAAGGCAAAGAATATTTACCATAAGTTCCATTGAGAAGC